TAACCTTCTTGAGCAAGTTCGTAGGCTGACTTCTCTCCTCTCCTCCCTCAAACAGGCGTGAGAACAAAAGCACTGGATCTGTGAATTTCTATCCAGTAACTAAAAGCGATAGAGTGAAATTTCCCAATCACTTCAAAAGAGTAAAACTGCAGATGCACATTCCTCCTCTGAGACAGGTACAATCAAATGGAAGAAGGGGGCTAGAAAATATGTACCAAAGCTCAGGGTGTGATCTCTCATAAGCAATGTGTTTGCGATTGCCAGAGCCTGCCTTGAGCATAAGAAGTAAAAAGCACAATCCTATGCATGTTTCAACAGGAAAAAGCCCTGTAAATCCCAGGATCTCCCTGCCCATTTTAATTTTTATAAAGTAATTTATAAGCATTCTCGAAGCTTCACAGGTTAGGTGGAAAGGGTTTGTTACCTGATGAGATGCATTATGTTTCATCTGCTTCAAGTTTGTTTTATATGGTGGACTGGAAAGCACTTCAGTCAGACTCTCAAAAAGCAGAACAGAATAAGATTAGAGCAGGAAAGGGGGGCTACTTGGTGGGCTGCAGATTTCTTTGGCCACAGCTCTTAGAATCCCTGACTATGGGCCATCTCGGCCGTGGTCTACAGACGTTGTAGTCCAAACCATCTGGTGGACTCTAGGTCACCTCCCCCTCCCAATGCAAAGGTCAAACTGCAATATCTGTTCTGGTTAGAAAACCTCTGGGGAAATTTTATATGAAGCTTTTCCTCTGAAGCACGGAAAGAGCAAGATTGACAGTTTTATCCAGGTCTGCTTCCATGGCTGCCCATCTCCTTGCCTCAGAGTACAAGGGGAGGAAGGAGACGGTCAAGCATCACTTAACCTTCTGCAAGCTGGTGCCTTCAGTTTCTTTGGACTTCCACTCTCCTCCGCCCCAGCCAGTGTGTCCAATGGTCAGCCATGCTGGGAGTCACAGTCCAAAACATTCAGGAAGGCTGCAGTTGCATCTATGCCGATATACTTTTAAATGGAGAGATCTGTCATCACTAGAGAGCAGTGTTATGCTTTTAAGCAACAATGTCAACATGCAGAGCATCGAAATGTTGCCACTTCGGATGTTTAAAGGAAAAATCTTTCTCAAAGCACACTATAACAAAGCTAGGCCTAGCTCTTCTTAAAAGGCCTATTTAAAGGCAGTAAAGCAATTCGTTCCTCACGAGAGTAGCACTTGTCAAATAGGAGTGCTCTGGGTGTACAGTATGTTAAATTTTAGAGCTTCTTCTTAAAATATCCTAGGATGGCTTAATAAAGTATCCTTTTCTTCTTTCTCTTCCGCCAACACCTATTCCTAGGTATTCTTCCACTGCACTGTAATTGTTGGCACTTGCCTCCGCATGTCTGCTGATGGTCTTCCCTGTCTGGAATCTTTGTCTGGAACAAAGTTTGGTAGGTCTTCTACTGAAAATCGAAGAGAACCGTTTGTTCATGGAAACATTAGATTTAATATATTGTGAGGTGATTTGTCTTGCCCCCTCATTCAGCCTAATTATGATTTTAAATATTGGGGGTGACCAGGTCTCTGTACATTTTTTGGCATACACTTATCCATTATTTCTAGAAATTTTTGACTAATATTGGTAATACTTCAGATCAGCCTCCTGCAATTTATCCAAGTCGCCGTGGTTATGTAGTGGCTGGACCAGTCTTGATTCTTCATCCTGAACAAATTAAGGAGTTGGACATGCGAAGAAACTGGGTAGGTTTGGAGAATGAAGAAAAAAGATTGGAAGTGTTTTTGCAGATGCTAGAGGGAACATTGCCTTGTTATCTAGATTGATAGCCCAGCTGTAATCAGTGTTGTAGTTACATGCACTTAAAACCCTGTGAATTAATTATGGATTTAACCATGTCTGATTCTAGACAGAACTGGGGCATAATATTTTTCTCAGACTCTGGAAACCATAGAAACTAGCCCAGGATCAAAAGAAACTCTTCATAGATATGTTAACGGAGGATACAGCACCACAGTAATGGATCAGTGCGCTTTCATAATGTGTGTGCATTGAGAAGGGCATTCACAAGCAGCATAGCAGGGCAAATGACAAGGTCCAGAAGTACCATGGGGCCCGGCATTGCTTTCAGCTCCAGGCTGATGTAACCTATCTCCACTGTTGTCACCTTTGCAGTTCACCAGGTGGCAGAGCTCCAGGATGATGGGCTGCAGGGGACACCTTGATCAGGGCCCCCTGTATCTGCCCCCAGCCCTGCCATAGAGGACTCCTTTTTTATTAGAGTGAGGCCTACAATATCTGTCCTCCTCTTGGGGCTAGAAGCACCTTTTTAGGGAGTAATAGACTTGATTCAGCCAAATCAGTAAGAACATTTGAGTGTCACAAGCAGTTAACTAGGATAATCTGTACAATTTGGCAAGCAATCACCAAATTGTAGAAAAGTAAAGGGTTCATAACAGCCAGTCTGTGTCATACATGGATTTACCTCGTAGACATCCCTATGTGCAAAGGGGCAAGCTAAATGTTGTCTTTCTCTTCCAGAAATAGAAGTCATGGCTGGCTTCTGGAGTCATCATACTTTTGTGAATGCTTAAAATGTACTCATCACATAGCTTTCACTGTCTTCAAAAGCTTCAAAAATTAAAAGCAAAATATGTAAACTATGCATTCATCTTACTTGGGGCTTAAAAATTGCCACCAGTACAACTGTTTGGATAGTGCATTCTCTCTTTTAAAAGAATGCTTTCCCCATGACTACTAGGATGCCATCAATGCGTATAGAAGCTACCAGCTCAGATTAACATTTAATATTATATGTGGGAAAACCAGGCCTAGACCCTTGCTTGGCCTGCCCCCCTCCCCCCGCACCTGAACTTTTGAGCTAAGCCATAACTTCTCTGTCTAATTTATCCTGAGGATAAAATGAAACACTGTTTTGAGTGCCTTGGGATTAAAAATTGCCACATCTTCCCATACTGCATAACAAATCCACTCATTCCTAGAAGCAGCATTACACTATTTTCTATTCACTTAATTATACTGGACAACTTGGGAAATCTCCAGTATTCGCTAGTAAAAGTTATGCAACAATCCATGGCCTCTTGTGTCGCAAGCAAGACTAGCATAACTTGATGCCCCATTTTTCTGGCCAGGGGTGAGAAAGCAAGTTGGCCGTCAATCAAGTCTGTTCCGTATGACCACCATCCACGGCCAGGTGGACGTGTGAGCCAAGCTAGCTCACTGAATAAAACAAAGCCTTATTGATGTAATACAATGAGTTACTTCTCTAGACAGCTATAATAAAAAGCACTAGACAAAAGCATGTATTCACATTGTTTGATATAATGGAGATCAGATCATATAGGAAGTGATTATATCCCAGTCTAACAAATGACAAGGATTTACTCATGCAAGAAATGCATGGAAGAATCTGTATCATTGCCTTTCAGCTTCATTCTTAGGAAATCCTTGGAAAGACCTGTAAAAGAGTAATGTCTGAAGGGGTCCTAGCCAAGGGAGAGTCTGCCAATCCACTGCACTAACACTTACCCAGCTGCTAAATGTATTAGTCTAGGCCCAAAAGTGAGAAAGGGACTGCCAGAATTCTTTCAGCATTTTAATAGTTCGACAATCTCATAAAGCTGCAATCATCACACTAACCTACCATTCTCCTGTTTGTCTCATACATGCACACCTTTTGTGTCTTTCTGAATCACAGAGGACCCATTGCAGTTGGGAGCCATTACTGAGGTGAAATTTGTCTACCTACTGCTCAGTCTGTGTGTAAATCCACTGCAGTTAGTGGGAATACTTCAGTTCTAACCAATAGCCTACCTGAAGTGAACATACCTAAGTTGGCTTTGGTTAACTCTTGCAAGCATGCGAAGATAAAACACGGAGAACCTACATGCTTGCCTTGAGCTCCAGGAGAGGTCTGCCTAGAGCTGTTCTAAGCTTGCAGTCTGTTACTGTAGCATAGCATAACAAGAGAGTTATCAACTAGTTGACTATAACCTATCATGCCAATTGCAAAAAAGTAAAATGTGCTTAAGCCAAGAAAGTGGAATTAAGCCCATTTTACCTAAGCCTGCCAGATGTCACTAACACTTTGGGGGAAGACAGATGAAAGACCTTATTCATTCCAGAGTATCCACACATAAACATATCTGTACACCAAGGCCCACAGATCTCTTTAGGGTACAATGAACTGTAAGAGCAAGCCTGAGGTATATAATCAAGTATGCTTATGTTGTACTTATACCTCATGGCTCTAGTTACAGCATGGGCGGGAAACTTGTGTATGCACCTGACTTAACCTCTTGACATGGTTGAGAGAACCAGGGCAAACTTCCTATAACACTAGTATTGAATTAATCAATACTGAAGCCGTTTGTAACTTTCATGTTTGTCCTCCTAAAATGTTGAGGTAGGTTTCTCCTTTCTGAAGGCAGATTCAAGCTGCCTTTTCTATAGCCAGTAAGTTCATGGAGATCTATACAGATCTCACAACTCCAGTCCAAGTCTCTTTACATGAAGCTCGTGGGAGCGTGGAAGCAGGCGATTCTGGAGTATTCCCCTTATTCTATGCTGCTATTGGCAAATCCAGTTGTGAGGCTTTTTTAAAAAAGCTGCTAGCAAACTGCAGCAATGCAGAGAATGAAACACAGGACAAAGCCATGCAGCAGCTACGTTCTGCCTGTCCTCAGCTGGGCCGACCTGGTGGGATGGGGAGCGCAGATCAGACCTGTGCCTATTAAGCACTCATTGCCAGTGACATCAGTCACAGATCTAAGCATGGGCTTGAACTGGCTGGATTCTGATGGAAGAATGAGCATTAGCACATGTTATACAGAAGTTCTAAAACATTTTTACAATGCAGGACCTGCATTTTTACAATGCAGACCTGTTCCTCCCTAGTGCCTCTTCATTTGTTTGCTTGGTAACCCACACACACATTTCTAGTTCTGCTTTTATATTCTGAGCTTAAATGTGTAATAAATACAAGAAGCGGAATCTGCTAGTGTAGAACTTTTATTCAGCTTTTTCACATCAAAACATCAACAATACAATAATCTCAATAACATATTGCTGGGGGCAGGGGGCGGAGAGAAAGAAAAGTTGTGTCTTTATTTTTACCATGTAATCCAATCTCAGGGCTAAAACTGTGTTTCACCTGTAATAGAACTTCAGTAGGTTCTTTTTAATTTTTCTTCTTTATCAAGGATAGTCTGCTTTAAACTCAAAGAAGCATCTTCAAACTTGGGATTTAGCTCTAAGACTTTCTGGAAATCTTTCAAAGCATCATCAAAGAATCCTACCCAAAAAAAGAAAAAGAAAAAAAGAAAAGGAAGTGGATGCTTTGGTCTTTAGATGCAGACATGGCAGAATAGTAATCTCTTCTCATAAAATTAAACAAGTATGTTCCATTCAGTAGTGTGACCTTTACTTTTGAGGATGGCACTGTTCATTCTTCATGTACAAACACTGCCAACTGCCATTCCTAGTTTTCATTGTTCTGTCCATCTCCCTAATACCACACCGAATTCCAGTTATCTTACCCTGGAAGGGAAAAGGGAACTTATGTAACAGAACTCAAGTCTGATGCTCTCTTCTTTCCATGCTTAGAGATCTAGAAGGGCTCCTAGTGCACACAGATTTTAAAAAGTATGATGTTCAACAGAGCAAATCTGCATCGTGCACAAGAGCTTGTATACATGGAAGAAATGATGTTTTCTCACCAGTCTGGAAGGACTCAATAGGTACTCAAAAGGGATACCCTTCTGAAATGCAGTAGCTATTTGCTTATGCCCCAAGCAAGACCAATAAAACTTTAGCAAACATTTAATATCAGCTCAAAGAAATCCACTTTCTTCTCAAAAGAAAACCCACAATCAAGACAGGCAGACAAAAGTTCTCTGGGTGCCCATCTGGATTTAAGTTCTTCAAGTCACACCTGCTAGTAATGCATCTGAAGCTTCTTCTAAAAATCAACAGAGTTTCCAAACTATAGAGTTTGATATGAAATAGGAAGCTAATGCTCGCCAAATCCAGAAGGGACTCCTAGTAGTAAGCAAGCCTTGGTGTCTGCTTGATTTCCCCCCCTAGATTATAATCAAGCCCCCATTTTCTAATCACATTTTATCCTTATGTTTTTCTTCTTGCTTCAAAGGAAACACCAATATTTGTGCACACCAAATATTATTCCTCTATATATTCTATTGGCTAATAAAGCAATTCACCAACTTTATTAGTTAATTTTCTTCGGAGTTCTCATACTGCATAGTTTTTAGGTAGTTCTTTTCAACAGTCAATACTACCATGTATCTGCAAGCAGAGGCAGAATGGATAACATAGACTAAAATCAAAAACATATAAAATGCAAACTCCAATAGCTTCAGAGGCTGTATCTGTATCTGCCCTCCCGCCCCTTGAGATCGGTGGCAGAAGCCCTTCTCTGGGAGCCCTCTGCGAAAGATATTAGGAGGGTGTGTACCCGGAGGAGGGCTTTCTCTGCGGTGGCGCCCAACATATGGAACGCGCTCCCCAGAGAGGTCCGCCTGGCACTGTCGTTATTTGCTTTTCGGCGCCAGGCCAAGACCTTTTTATTTAAACGTTATTTTAATTGTTAAATTTATTTATTGATTTTACAAACTTTTTGCCAGGATGTCTCCATCATTTTATGTAATTGTATTGATTATATTTATTTATGTTTGGCAGCCACCCCAAGGCTTATGCAAATGGGGCAGCATATAAGTTCTCCAAATAAATGAATGAATAAATAAATAAGTATCTAAAAAATTCAGTGTATCGTTCTCTTGTCTACATTAAGTCTTTCACCCCAGAACACACTGGTTAGGAATAAATACTTAATTCATAGACTAAATGAGACAAGTAGTGTCATATATATTTGCAGGTGGTTTTTTTTTTTTTCCATTGAGGAATATCCAAATGTTGACCCATGTTTCTGTGACAACATTAGATTAAAGGAAGGAGCAGAAAGTTAATCAGGTTGATCCAGATTACCAGAAATCAAGTAAACAAATTTCAATCATGGAGGGAGGTGTAAAAATTTTGGAAATTTTGAAACCATGGTTTTACAAGAAGTGTTAATTCCATATTTATTCCATAGATACCAGGGTACTGAAATGGGGGCATGGGAGGGGTCAGGTAGAAAGTGCTTACTTTCGTTGCAGCAGTTAAAAGGTTTTTTAGTATTTTTCCTTGTGGTGCGGTCTGATTGAGAATGCCATTTAATATTTTGGGAATTCTATAGACTCAAGTTAATTAAATGAAAGTGGGATATTAGCCTACAGTATTTTTTTCAGGTATGAGTTTTACATTAGCACTACATTAATTAACTACTACAACATCTAACCTGAGCAAGTCCAGAAACACATGACTCTGTAGAATAAAACCTGAACTCCCAAGGATGCATATTTTTGGGAAACTGGGTATGATTTGGAGCTTCTGTAAACATGTATCAGTAAAAGACACATTAGATCAATTATTTTAACGAGGAATGGAAGAAATAAATATGCTGGGAACCTTAGAGTGGTTAGAAACTTTCCCCAGGGCTTCATTATTTCCAAACATTATTTCTGTACAATTGTGTTTATTACAGTTTTCTAGAAATCAATTTGAGGGGAATAAAGGCTGGATAACCATATAAATATTCTGCCTTAAGTTCAAGAAGAAAATATTTCATAATCCAAAACTGTTAATTTTTTCAGACTTTTTCCCCTGAAAAAATTACCACAAAAAAACTTTTTTTCCCAGGCATGTATATCTCTAGTCATGGGAATTTTACCTTCAGACTGATATTGTAATAACTGATATACTTTATCAGGACAGAACAATATCACAACACAATTAAAAAAACAGAAACTTCGACACAAGAATGCTTAACATTATTTGGTCTTATGTTGAGATTCTATAGTGGAATCTTCTGGTAAAGTGTTCTATGCAAGCTTAAGCTAAAATACGTTCAGTGCTACAGTTCAAAAGAAGCATTAGTTCCATTGCACTGGCAACAATTAGCTGAATTAGAGAACTCCTTATTTAGGAGACACTCTGCTGTCTAGCAGAAAGGAAACAAAAGGTTTCCCTGAATAAGACACAGCCTAAGATCCATAGACATCACAGGTAGACACAAACTGAACAGGCAATTTGTTGTGATACCTACAGCTGTTTCTCACAGTCCTAAATGTACCCACCGGTTCAAAAGGATTAGTGATCCCTGGAATAGGGTTTTTAACATTGCATTCTGGGGAACTTCAAGGTTTCTCAACATTATGACTGAAGATGGTAACAGGGTTTCTGGAAAGAAAGCTAACCCAATGCTACCAATATTTCTCTGCAATATCCAGTGACAGAACAACATCAGAAGTGTACCAGAGAGCACTGTCAGTTCATACCGAACAACAAAGAAATCAGATGAGCACTCTAGTGAACCAAGTATGCACCTGAGAACCTGTTCCAGAACCTTAACATACAGGAGATTCTCAGCAAACAAAATGAGTTTCTTGAAGACAGAATGTTTATAAGCCACTGATAGAGAGAACCCGGTCTGAATAATGCCAAGTAAATAACTATAATACATTTAAATAAACAATAAACATTACTTCCATACCTAGCCTATATAATATTAATCCTCTGTTATAATACGGGACTTCAAAATCAGGCTGTGCTTCTATAGCGGCAGTATAATCATCCATTGCTTCGTAGAAGTCAACTCTCAAATACTTGATCTGTCCCCTGTTGTTAAGTGCTGTGGCCAGTTCATGACTGAGAGCACTGCTTGAAGGAAAGAGAAGGGTGGGAGACGAATCAAGTAAAACCACTTGCATTGCCTCAGTATAACACTATGGCTGGATTAAGGCTGCACTTGTGGGAATAAGTCTCAGTGAGCGCAATAGATTGTGCATCTAAGGAGACAAGAATAACCTCACAACAACCCTGTGGAGTAGGCTGGGCTGAGAGTATGCGCCTGGACCAAAGTCACCCAGTTGACTCCATAGCTGAGCGGGGACTGGAGCCCAGTCCCGGTTCCGCCCTCTTAACCACTACACCGCACCTGCCTGATAATTATTAACGTTAAAAGTTAAAATGCCAAAAAGCACCCCTTTGATTTTAAGTACGCAAGATGGGAGCAAAGCTGCTTGCATTTCTCTTCGCAGTCATGTGCAGGCGAGAAATGGAGGAGGCCTCTGGGCCGCTGTCTGGAGACCAGCCCCGGCCTCTTCTTGACACACCAGAGAGCGCCGCTCCCGGTGTCACCCCCCGCCCCCCAGCGCCAGCCTCCCCTTGCAACCCTTTAGTTCGCCCCTGCGCCCCTTCAGGCGCCTGGAGTCACCTCGTGCCAGAGCAAGCGCACTGGTCAATAAAGCGGCCGTACAGCTCCTCGGCCCTCTCGAACCGTCGCTCCCGGAACTGCGCATGCGCCTCACGTAGCATGCCTGAGGCGGCTTCGGCGGCGGAGTCGCGATCCATATCATTTTCTACGGCCACTGCAAAGGGAGGACCTCGCGATTTCTCAGCCGCTCCCCCTCCACGTACACCCCCGCTCCCCTCCGCTACTTCCCTACCAGGCTGGGGCAGCGGAGCCCGTGCGCCCAACGCTTCGCCGTAGCCGCTGTAAAGGAAGGGCTCCATTTCCGCCTTGCATAATACGTGACGTCAGAGGGAAGGTCTCATCAGTCAATGTATTTCTGGAAAGATTCTCGACGTTTATTTAACTTCTGGGTTGCTTTATAATATGCGTTGGACGCGTTTCCGGCTACAGATTTGCTCCAGGTGCTTGGCGGTAGGGCAGTGCTGCACAAGGCTTCTTCCTGGCCTTGTGGATGTGCAGGGAAGGAGCCTAAGGGACAAGTTAACCAGGCTAAGCTTTTCTGAAAAGTGACTGGTGTTTTGTGTGACGGAAGTCCAGACTAGTCGCTTTCTCAAAGACCTAGTTCTCCTGTAATGGCAGTCTATGGGTTCAGCATGGGCTGCTGTAGAATCATGGGTTGCACTGTGCGAACCCTGAAGTATGGTTTCAGTATGGGTTGTGAACCACGAACAATAAAGAGTTTGTGTCTAACAGCAAACCATGGGTTTTCCTCCTGTACATGCCTAACAAACCATAGGAGCACTGGACTACTTTGCATAGCTGTAATGAGCCACATATTAAACTACACCAGCACCACCTATAATGTCTATAATGATGTCTATAATGTCTATATATAAAGTCTATAATGATGAACTGTATTATTGCCAGCTGTGAGATTTTTTCTTTTCTATGCATTTAAAGAACAAAATGAAAGAACCCCACATAATGCTTGGGTTGGAAAGAGCATGAACTCTTTACCTTTGCTGTTTGGGGGAGGGATGTCCTTTGTTTATCCCCTGTTTGGATGAGGGACACTCTGCTGCCCCATTGTGACTAAACTCATTCTGAATTTCCCCATTGTTTTTATGGACAGTTTTTACTTGGGCCTGGGACACCAAAACTAGCATTAAAAAACAAAACAACCCAACAGGAATTTAAAAATCTGAGCCACACACCATAGTAAAGGAACTTTGGGATTACTTTGGCTACCTTTAAAAACACACAGGTGAGGGCTTCTCTACATAAGGCATTTATTGTACAATCCTGATCCTTACAGAAGTTTGCAAGGTTTGTTAACAACATTGTCATCTTCTGGGACCTCTCCTGTACTTACGCACCATTTTTGCAGGGTTCTTTTTAAGAGCAAGGAAAGCCAGCTATTAAAATTCAAACTGGAACAAAAGCCATGTGTCGGCTTACCATTATGCTATACTGCAGCTATAATAGAATACAAGGTATGTCCAGAAAGTAATGAGAATGAAATCCTTACGCTCAAGAAGGACTCTGTGAAGGAAGAAGCTGGCCAAGGTCACTTGGGGTGGGGTGCCATTTATACATTAGAACACTGATCAGTTGTATTGCAGCCCTGCCAGAGTCGAGACATTCTTTTTTGTGACACCCTGTTCAAGTGTCTCATACTAAGAATAATGCAAGTGAATTTAGAACAGTGCTGCACGATAAAATTGTGTGAAATCGGGTATAAGTGCATCAGAAGCTTTGGAAATGGTGGGGAAGGCTTATGGAGAAGCTGTGCTATCATCTGCACAAGTGTACAGATGGCACAAGTTGAGATTGGCTCAACTTGGATCCTTCATCACAACAACACACGGAGTCACAGTGCTTTGGCTGTCAGAGAATATCTGGCTGAAATACTGGTGCATCATGGTGCTTCTCCATCTTGGCTCCTTGAGCCAAGCCCCAACTTGGCTCCTTGAGACTTTCTCATCTTCCCAAAAATGAAGAATGATTTGAAAGGACACCATTTTGGTAGTGTGGATAACGTCCAAAGAGCCACTACGCAGGCTCTGAATGCCATCCCACTTGAAGACTTCCAGGGATGCTATGAAGATTGGAAAAATTGCTGGACACTCACAAGGTGCATACTTTGAAGGAGAGAGTGTTCAATTATAAAATTTTTCAATAAAAGGATTTTTAAAATATTCTCATTACTTTCTGTACACACCTCAGCAGAGGTGCAAAATCACATACCTTTAGTCTAAAGTCTGAGGACTCTAAAGGACCAATGCAAGCTTAAACGGAAAAAAAGGACCAAATTCCCAGCATCCCTCAGCCAGCCAGGAATTGTAGAACTTTTCCTGTCTAAAAATGTCTAGGATTGCACTTTTACTTGTTTAGGTAATCACGTTACATAAGGCTTATATGTATAAGATAACAATGTGGACACTGAAGCAGCTGAAAGATGTATTTAAAAATTTCCTTTGTTCCAGTCCAGCCAGGAGTGCTGTACATGCTGATACAAACTAACAGGCATCCTCGCCTGGGTTAGGGAACAGAATGTTTTCCTAAAAACTGAGGCTATGTGTCAGGAGGAACCTTTCAAAATTAGCAGCTGTTTTGCCAACCAGCTGTGCTGGAGGGGCACAAGGAGAAGGGTTTCCAAACCTGCACCTTCTTATCCACCCAGCAGCAATTTGTGGGATCATACCTACTTAGCATCTGTGATTGATTATCTTATTCAAAATGTCAGTGTTTAGATCACACAGTTCTTGGGGCTCCCAATCTCTCCTTTCTAACTTTTTTCAGTATTGTGCCTAGTAAGTGACATCCACACAATTACTCTATGAGAATTGTAACCAGACATCTAATTGTAAAAGTGCCAAGACACAAAATACTTCCATTGTTGTTCGTTCAGTGCAATTTTAACATGGATTGCCATCTTAAATGCTTTCCTTTAAGATTCCAGCCTCCCACCCCACCCCTGGCTCTCCATTGGACCCATGTTTTTGGAAACTGGACTATTCAATACACAGTGTACACAGAATAAAGAATGAAGGCCTTATGAAATAGTGTAACTCTCATGTAAACACAGAAAGACAGAGCAGGCATTCACTTCGTTTGTTTTAAGACTTGCACATAATTTATCCTAAGAAATGATCTTGGCAGATTGAGTTTGTTTTAAAGAAAGAATTCAAATTAGTCCAGCTTTTATAGGCATGGAGAAGACACTGAAATTGTTTCTGTGTCTGAATTCATACCTTCCTCTTGCCATCGTAATAAAGTTTCTAGACATTTCAGACTATGTACATTTTTGCATGCCAATAAAGGCACACACATTTTCCTAGGATTAGGCCACTGAGCTATGGGAAAGAGAGCAGAAGTAAGCACTGAGAATTTCCTGAACCTCCTGCTTATGGTTCCTGGTGATGGGCCTTCTTGTAATAACACATGTTAAAAACTTCCTTTCTCCCTGGGTGGTGGGGGAGATTGTTGAAAAAGAATTCTATAAGTTATCAACATATGCTTTAAAGTGTGTGTGTTCCTTTAAATGTTGGTAAGTTTCAGAAGTGTGGGTGGGGTAAAAGGGGGATAAAGGAGTGAGGTGATTGGTGACTGAGGGTATGTGGGTGGAGCTTAGGAGTGTGTGATGGGAGAGAAAGCCATTTGGCAGAAGTGAATAGTGAGAGTAGGGGTCAGTCAGCACATATAAAGGGTCAAAAGAGGCAGCCTTCTCTGTAGAATCCTAGTTAATGCTGTGGAAGGTATTTTAGGATTCATAAGGAAAGGGAAGAGAGTAGAATGCTTGGAGGACATAGTAGCAACCAGAGAGAAACAGAACTTTATATTGTCAAGTATAAGGGTGTGTGAGAGAGAAGCTGACTCAAACCGGAGTGCAGGAGGGAAAGATTAAACTGAAACAAAGACTGGTCAAAATTCAGAAGAGAAAGAAGGATTTGAAAGTGAGTGATCGAGAAGGGAAAGAGTGCAATATCTCAGAAGTTATAGATATATCCAGTTTTATCTACAAAGGAAATAAGTTACAGAATAAGTGTGATTGTGGCTTTTGTTAACGCAGTCATAGGCTATTTGGATATAAGTGTCTTATCCTCAGGACCACATAGTCCAATGAAGGAGCCTTATAGCTTGGGCATGATACTATGGGAGAAGCTGACCAATAAGATTTGAATTAATTCCTATTGGAAGTGTTACCTACTAACCAGAAGAGAGGGAAATTTCAACAACTTAAAGACACTCTGTAATCAAAATATAGGAGGGTATTTGTGACTCTATTAATGGAGACAAACTGACACAATATGTATGCATAACACTGCTGGGGCACATGCTAATGAATCCAGTGAAGTTCCACTGTGTTAAACATGCCATCTTGGGTCACACACAATGCAGTTGCAGGAGAAGTAGAAGTTGAAAAGAGGATGTGTGCAGGGGAAATCACTCTTTACATTTCGTTTTTGTTTTTGTTTTTTAGATCCAGTGAAATTATGCACACATTGGCTTCTATGAAGGAAGGAGTATTTTAAAAAAAGTAATTCACAGCTCCTTCCTGAAATCTGAAGCAAACCCTGCTCTCCCAAGCTGAATTTTGCAAGAGTAAGTACTGTGGAAGACAATGTGATTTACATCCAAGAAGACATGACTGTTGCACACATTTTTACCTTGTTGTTCCTTGAGCCAAGAAAACTAAAAGGACAAAGGAAACAATTGGCAAAAGACATTCCAAATTTGCAGGGCAGGGGGAGGATGGAAGCAGCATTTCATTTACTCTGATGTTCACTGGGCAAGGAGAGAAGCCACTGAGATGGGGAGAGTGGGGGGCATGGCAGAGCAGCTGAAGGCTGATCGGGCTTAGCTCTGCCTCACAGTTGCTGCTGTTTCGTGCTGAGCACAGCCGCAAGCCACCTTCTTCACCCAGCACTTGAAGCAATGTGAGAAGTTCATGCAGCCCATAGAGCCACACCTTTGCATTATCAAATACTGCTTTTAAAAAGCCGGTTAGGGTACCTTTTCATTACAGTACCACTACTGGACACCCCATATGCTGTTGAAGCCACTCCTCTTCCTCTCGGAAAGGTACTGAAAGCTTTCCACATGCTGGAAAAAATGCAGCTTATAAAAATGTTCTGATATAACTGGTTTGAAGAAATATGGGATAGAATGGGAGAAATACCATGCGGTAGTCCATGGGAGTGGGATGTCCTGTGATATGGCATTGAGCCAGGCATATCACAGTAAAAATCCCTAATGTAGATCCCCTACATGTTGCTTGTGCTACTACTTTTATTAGTGGTTGCACAATTGCTTACTAGCAGAAGAACACCAGCTGT